TTTGTTTATGTATGTTTTGTGTTTGTTGTAAAAAATAAAAAAAATTATTAAAAAAAAAAAGCATAAACCATAAAGCATTAACCAGAGACATAAAAAAGAAATTAAATCGAGTACAGTAAGAAAAAGCTAACTTTTTCCCTATTTTTCTAGAGAATAGATTACCTTTGGAACAGATGTTATATCTGGGTCAATTGGGTTACTTGGAAAATCCTGCTTCTTGCAAATTTCAGCTTAAATGTGAGCTGAGTAGAGATGGTAAATCCCACCGGTTTCTAGTCTATCAGAGAAGGGGAGTGGAGGGCATCTACCCTTCATGAAGACATAGATTGGAGATGTCTACAATATGCCTTAGAGGGTATATATTGGGAATGTCTGAGTTCTGCCAGTTGGCAAGGGAATATTCACAGCAGAAGCAGGTCTTCCTTCTTAGTCAAGATATGTGTGTTTTCTTGCTGACTGAAAATTTTCTCCATGCTTGTCAATTTTGCCTTCACAGGGATTTGGCAATGTGGGGTTTCACTCAATGCGATACCTGCAACGCTATGGAGCATGCTGCATATGTGTTGAGGAAGTAGATGGTGCCATCTATAGCACTGATGGAATTGATTCCAGTGAGCTACAACACTATAAACAAGTATGTTGAATACATGGAGGCACTGGTGAGTTTTTTCTCTAGAAATAACCCAATGCAGATAGTCCCTAGCCTGTTTCAGCCACAGATGGACCACTAAATAGTGTAGAAAAATCTTTTCCCATCTTTCTGCTCTTGGCTTGGCTAACTGAAGTCTGTTTTTCATTCTAGGAACATGGCACCATTGTTGGCTTTCCAAAGGCTAAGAAACTTGAGGGCAGTGCTCTTGAGATACCTTGTGATATCCTTATTCCAGCTGCTATTGAGAAACAGCTCACAAAGGCAAATGCTCATCGTGTCCAAGCAAAGGTATTGTTTATAGAGGGGTTTTTTTATTGCATAAAAAAATTAAGTATTTGTTTCCAGTAAGAAAAAAATCTGGGGGCTGGTTTACTGGAGTGGTAAAAAAAATTATTGAGTTCATACTGGATACCTCAATGAGGAAGTCAACTCAGTGAGCAGTGGCTATGAAAAATAGTAAATTCGCTGTTATGGATCAGTAGGAAAGGGTCTAAAAATAAAAGTGGGAACATTTAATTGTCCTTATAGAAATATTTGCTGTCTACTTATATAGCACTATGTATTCTTCTGATTATCACATTTTAAAAAGGATATAACTGTTGTAAAAATGCATGGGGTAGCCAAAGTGATGAGAAGGATCAAGCACTTGCATTATGAGAAAAAACCTGAATGTTACAGATGTTTTAGCTTAGGAAAAAAGCAACTGAAGAAGGATGTGATCAAAGTGTGTAAAATCACTGATGTCAGGTTCAACCCAAGAACAGCAACGAAGCAATCCAGTACAGTTCAGTTCCTTTATTAGCTCGCACCTAATAGACA